GCCTGGGGGTAGTATATGAAGTGAATTGTTCAAAAATCGAGTGGTATACTTGACTCTACGTGTGGTTATTCCTATTACATTTGAACAATGAACCAGCCCGCCAACCTTCACTGGACAACAGCACAGCCTCGCACATATATGGAGCACACTGTTCTTGTATTTATTATGCTTTAGTGAATTTTTTTTTTTTTTTATTTGTTAGAAATTGAGATTAAACAGAAGGCACTGATTCACTCTATGTTTCCAAACACGGACTGTCACACAAATCTACGAGTTTTGATACATCCTAATCAATTTAATTTCACCTGTTAACCTCTTCACTGGGAGGTTATTTAAATAAAGATGCGAGGTATGAGCATAAGTTGCGGAGGGAGATACTGGGTGACGTAACAGGGTGATGGACACAACGTCACAGACGTATAAGATGTAGCTTAAGTATATGCATTTAGTATCCTAGCCTTGTATCCAGCCATTCTGAGGACAGCGTGAATATCGGCCTGGTTAATCGCTATGTAACTATGTAGTCGGCACATAATTCATTGTAATCAGTACATTACCATGGGTATACGCATGCACACACTGACGTGTAGGTGAAACCTGCCAATTGGGTTGTTCCCGCCTCAAGTGTCATGGCGCGCCGCACAAAACTACTGAATGGTATCTACTAATAGTTCCGACAACCATTCTGATTATCCATCACGTTCTTATTCGCTTTTCTATTTCTCTTGCTTACCCGACGTCATCGCTTACTCTCGATGCCGTACTCTCTAACGTTGCGCGAATATAAACTGTTTATTATTAAACATTTCTGGATGTGCCCTACCGTTTATTTGTTGACCGTTATCACTATGCTAGTTTCGGGCTGCTTAACTTTATCAGAATCCTTAATGGCGACCAATATGCAGTGAGACACATGCAATTTTACTAACATCTTATTCATTGTTCATTTTATAACAAAGTGACAACGATTTTCTCAATCTTGCCTAGCTATGATTTTACCCATAGTTCCATTCAGCCGACCACCAGCTATAATGGCAGGCGGAGTTTCGTCGTCGTCCCTACAAAGTATGTTCCGAATACTATTGATATTTACAAGGTGAAGAAAAACAAATCTCAGGACGAATTGTATGTGTTTCATCGGCTAAAAAAGTAAAAATGTACAGGACGGGACATATTATTAGCGCAAAGTAGCAGTGAAAAAAACATTGAAGGTCCTTCAACCTGTGGCGTTCTCATCCATTATTACATGCCTTCATACGCCCGCCAATCACACACACACTTTAGAATAGGAACATCCGGGTTTTTTTTTTGCGGTCCAGTGAGCCATGTACGGACCGTCGTCAATAGCAACAGAGAGGTCCAATGATTAAAGAAATTCCCGGAACTACTCAATCATTCAGACTTGTGGAGTACTTCTTATCGCGAAGATAGCGCTCCAAACTACACTTCATGTTGGATGAAAAAATTGCCCAGAAGCTCATTCAGCTCGACCGGTGGTATGTCTTCGAGGCACCGCAATTCTCAGCTGTGCCAAACTTATC